TGCACACTACCATTTTATGTTCTTAGAAATAATACTAAATTAAAATTAATCATGAATATGAAAAAATATTCAAGAATTTTTAAAAAGGTCATGATTTCTAAACATGTTTACGAATTTTAAAAAATGGTCATGAATTTTTTAAAAAAATTGAGGATTTGAGAAAAAATCTGCCTATGAAAAATCACAATTTTTTAAAAATGTTCATGAATTCTAGAAAATTATTCACAAAATTGATTTTTTTATTAATTTGAATAAATGTACGCGATTTAAAGTATGTTCCCAATTTTAAAAACATACCCATAAATTTGAAAAATATTCATGAGTTAGAAAACAAAAAGTAAAGAGAAGATGGTAAATACGTATAAAAACAAACAGGAAAAAATAAAATATAAACAAATGGTGGATAAAAAAACCAAATAGGACATTTCCAACACTGGAAGGACTGTCCTGTATGGCCGTCTAATAGCCCCCACGGGGGTGTCAGTGTTTGCTCGACCGCCTTTATGGTATGGGTGGAATATAATTGGCATAATAAGTTTTGGAATTATGAAAAAAAAATTCCACAACCGAAGAACCACACTGCAAAGCGCACATTTTGTAGAATTTATGTTGGCCCGTCCAGCCAACAACCCACCTAATATGTGGCTTTGTTCCCTAAATTGAGAATATAGTAAGGAGCATACTTTAAATTACACAAATATGTGTGTAATAGAGTAATACAAATCATACAAAAGTTTATGTGGGCCAGACATTTAATATATTTCATTTCCTTCTAAAGAATGAGAACTATAATAAGGTCTATAATGTTCATGCATGTCAAATAAATATTTCACACTACTAGTTCAAGTAGGAGATATCCTTGCGTGTCGCAGCAAGAATTTTAAAGATTAATTTTAGATGGATTATGTATGGAGAAAATGATCTAAATCAAAAGCTACCATCTTCTTAATGTAGATATATTTCATACTTGCACTGTGTGCGAAAAAAGAGTATGCACGTGGTTTGCTCCGGCCAGACACAATGTGAATTGTTCATAGGGATGCCGGAACACGGGAACGAGAAAAAAGAACAAAAAGGGTAACAAAGAAACTGGTATAATGGTTCACGTAGATGCCGATAAATCTCACTTTGGGTTTTGTTGATTATCGTGAAGCAAAAGGAATAACACATGGTAACTACATGTTCACTTGATAGTTATTCATGTGGGTACAAGGGGCAATATGGATGTCCACGGTTCCGCTATTGATCATTGAACGGAAGAATTGAACGGAAGAAGTTCCGGTCACGTCTATACTTTACCAAACCTGCAGTGTCACATGCTTAAGGGTCATAGATTTGTTGGGTGCTAGATGGATTAGGAGCTTGAGAGAAAATCACCAGAAATGTTTCAGAGATGTTGAAAATGTCTTCGAGGAAGGATCGGAAGTGTTTCAGGGAAATCGAAAATGTTTTTGAGAAAACCGTGAGACCTGAAGTTTTTCAGAGCCTCCTGGAAATATTATCGGCGCCATGGGCCAGCCCATACGCAAGGCCTATCGGATGGTTGGCCGCATGGGCCTTAGGTGGGCGCCCCCTAGCCTTGGCGCCCAAGCTTGCTTGCTGCAGCTAGGATTTGGGGGTGAGGCCCACCCCTTGGTGCGCCGCCCTAGGGAGGATGCAACACATGCTCCATGGGTTGCCCCCCTCTCTCTCATTCTCCACCGAAAATTTTCGTTACGCCGCAAGGCTACGCCACCCCCTTCTAGTACTTTGACACCACTAAGTTTTGAACGGTGCAACGCTATTGGATCGCTAACTTCGTACACGTGGATACCAACAGAGAGATCATGCTTTCAAGGGAAAAATTCTCGCGGTTGGGAGGTTGTAAATCCTAGCTGCGGGAATCTGCACCAACGATCTTCACCAACTCTTCTTCTACCGCAACTCTATGTTGGTAAAGTTCCGATGTAATCCCATGTGCATCTTCACCAACGATCTTCAGTGTTTGTTCCCGTGCCTTTGCCGGCAGGTAGTTCTAAGGCCAACAGACGGTGGTCCATGCCTAGTATGGACCGCGGAGGCGCTGACTAGGGCCGGAAAAAGGGCGGGTCATTGGTTGTGGTTGCTGGCACAATCACCGTAGCAGGGTCGTTGTTCCAGCTCCATCTTCGACGGCAGTCGCTCCACCGCAGGCGAACGTGGTAAGTTCTTGACTTGGTCACCAACGACGAAACTCTACCCACCCACAACGATGACGCCCACCAACAACCCACACAGGAAGGCACACCACCACACACCACCACATTTGCCCGGGGCCGGGGCCTGGTAGTATTCATGGCTGCACGTTGTTGCATGCGGAGGAGCGTGCAGTGGGCACCAGAGAGAGCGAGAGGAGCCGACGCGCACGGCACGAGATCGACAAGACTCGCCTGGGGCGCCTGCCGCGGGAGCCGGGTCTTCGCCCAGCAAACAGCCGGGGAGCGCGGAGCGGGCTGCACGCACGCCGGGGTGTCGTGCCCGAGCGGATCCCGGCACGGGCGGGCGGGCGGCGGCGTACATGGTGCCGGACCGACACACGCGGCCAACAGTGTCTGCCCTGCCGTGCGTTACGAGCGGAACGCACGTACGTACGTACGGGTTCCGTATGACCCGGCCGCCTTCCAATCCAACAGTGCAAATCCTGTCGAGGACAGCCAGCGATTCCGGTACGAAACTGAAGCCACGTCCAACATGAGGATCCCGGGGAAGCCAGCACGCACTGGCGACTCCGTGACTACACACACAGCCCGAGCAAACAGAAACCCGTCAGAAAGTTCAGATGCTTACCCTAAAAAAATAATAAAAAAATCAGATGTTCAGACGCGCCGCGAGGCCACACGAACACGAAGGTCCAACATTTTGGTTTGATGAAAGTTAGGAGGTCTAGAGACAGGAGCTACAGCTACCCATCCAGCTCCGATCAGCGGCGGCGGCTCTCCGCCGGACCGGAGGCGACGCTGCTGCTGCCGTGCCATGGCTCGATACTACAAAAACCCTTCGTCCCAGACGCAGCTGGGGAAGGAACCACGAGAGCCCAGGCAGATGCATGCATGCGCCGCTAAGCTACCAGCTATGGCTAATAAAACCACCTTACAGTTCCTTGCTAACGCAGCTACTAATGCTAGGTAACCAGTCCTAGTTAAACAACCTTGCTATCTCCTCGTGGATGCAGGGCCAAAAGGACGACGCTGTAGTCGAGCAAGTCAGGCGTCGGCCCACGCGGCGAACACTGGCATGTGCGCCACGGACACGCCGGGCCTGGCCGGCGCCGGCGATGAGACCCAGGTGCCCATGGGCAGCGAGCTCGCCAGCTTCGGCGCCTCGGGCCGGGCGAACAGCATGGCCAGGCCGCCTCCCTGGTCCGGGCTCTGCTCCCGGGAGTTGCTCAGGCTCGTGGCCAGGGACGACGCGCCCGACATGCGGTTGCCCTGCCCCTGAGCACCAGCCGCGTCGCCGTCCAGGGACACCACGCCGCGCAGCAGGGAGAAGGACTCGCTCGACAGAAGGTCCAGGTGGTGGCGGCTGTGCTCTTCCGTGGTCACCGCCGCAGGCTGCCTCCAGTAGTCCGCGGCGCTGCCGGCCTGCACGAGGGCGGCCGCCGCGCTTGCCACCACGGCGGCGCTCTCGTCGGGGCCGTCCTTCCTGCGCCGCACCTGGTCGCCGGGCAGGAGCGTGCTGCTCTCCATGATCTTGTCCACGTCGTAGCGGTTGATGTCGAAGTTGGTGACCGCGTTGAGGCCGCGGAACTTGATCGCCGCCACGTCGTACGCCTCCGCCGCGTCCGCCTCCGCGCCTGCACGCACGCAACAAACACGCATCCAACGATCAAACACACACACACGCAGCTTGAAACAGCAGCCGGGCTTTCCCGGGCGGTCAAAGGACAGGAGAGGAGCCGAGCACGAAAGCGACGAGAGCATGCATCATGCACGCACAGAGCCGGCCAGCCTTATGAGAAAGGCGAGCGACGCAAAAACGTAAACCCACTACGGCTGGGGACGGCCCTCGCTCCTCCCTCGCACGCGCAAAAGTGCGGCCAAAAGCATGCAAGAATCGGCAGAGCGATGCTACGTTCATTCTTTCGGGAGGGCCAGGGCGCGCAGGGGCATCATGGAGCTACATCAGAGGTTATGATCATTGTGACAGGACGCCCTGCGTCCTTAAACCGTGACAAGCCTCTGCAGCCTTATTTCGCTGCTGCGGCGACAACGAACTGGTTGCTGCTGTCACATTGGTGAATCGGTGATGATGATGCATGATAGGAGCATGCATGCTGCGGATTTGCATCTTGTGGTGCCCATGGAGAGATTGCAAGATTGCAGTCTCAGAGATACCTGATTAATGGCGGCAACAGGGGGAGCAAGAGCTAGTTTGGGCGGGGCACGTACTGAATGTGCCGAGGTAGAGGTCCTTGTTGCCGGAGACGCGGCCGATGCGCGCCTGCCACCGCCCCTGCTGGTGGTGCCTGGTGACTCCCCGGTACACCGAGGCGCCGCGCGAGAACCCGCTGCTCTTCCTGCACCAATGGCGGTCGCCGGCGTGAGTGTCTATCCACCATGCGATCGAGTGCAAATTTCTCAGGGTCGTTCAGGCAAGCATGTGATGATGTACCTTCTGAGGTGAGCCACATACTCCTGCCTGGTCATGTTCTTCATCACCTCCAGCTCCTCCTGGTAGTCCTCCACCTGCACGCACGCAAACACGCAAACAATGGTCAAAATCACTGGCTACATTGTGATGACAAGCAAGCAAGCAAGCAAGCAATGTAGTACACCGGAGATGGATCGAGAAGGAGGTGATCGCCGTACCGGGAAGTTGATGTGCGTGGACGCGCCCCAGTACTTGAGCGCCGCGAGGTCATACGCCCTCGCCGCCTTCTCCTCCATGTCATACCCACCTGCCCAAATCAACAAGCTCTTTTAGTTCTATTAGGCACCACCACTCCCTCTGATTAAACATGCAGAGGGACTAGTATTTGTATTGACTGATCCCAACAAGATTAAGCAAAGTGATAGGAGCATCACTCCCAGGCAAGCTACTCACCAAGATAAACTGAAGATGTAGACACGATCGATCCCCAGGCAAAAGGTCCAGCAAAGGACATGCAAAGAGCAGTTCATTAGTTTGCACTTGGAAGTGCAATCACATCACTACTTAGTACACTACGACTACTAGTAGTACGTACTGCTACTAACTAAAATGGTACTGGGGGCAAAGTGCTACTACTACTCCGGCAGCTGTTAGGGAGCTCGATTGATTAAGGTTGGAGCTTGGAAGTACCTTGCCGGCCTTTCCTGGTCTGGCCTTCCTTCCGGCAGCTGTTGTCCCAGAGGTGCGCCTCATACCTCCCCGTCCACCTATGCCTGCTTTTGCTAGCAAGCGAGGGTTAGCGCGAGGAGGAAGACGATGGCGACTCACTGACAAATGATATGCAATGGGGTGAGATGGGTTGTGCCGTGCGGCTACCTGGTGACGCCCCGGTACTTGGACGTGCGCTGGCCGAAGGTGTCGATGCACTTGCGGTGCACGACCGGCTGCTTGTTCTGCCCGGCGCCCGCGCCGCGCTTCTTGCTGGCCGCGGTCGCCTGGCCGACGCACTCGCCGCCGGCACCGACGTAGGCGTGGGCGCGTGCAGCCGCCTGCTGCATGGTGACGCAGCTGGACTGGGACCCGGAGCTCATGGACAGCGTCAGCGGGTGTACGTACCCACCGGGGTTGTCGTGGCCGGTCGCCACGATGGCGTCCTCGCCGTTGCCGGCGTCCACGTCGTAGACGTCTCCGGCACGCGCCATCCAGCCGGCCGCTTCCATCGCGGCCGACGTGGCTGCAGCCTGCTCGTCCAGCAACGCCGCGTGGGCGTCGTAGTACATGTGGTGGCCACCGGAGCCAGGCATCATGGCGTACGGCAGCTGGTGCTGGCCGCCTCCTGCGTCGCCATGGCCGTGGCCTTGGCCGCCGTAGTAGTAGCCCGAGTTGTCCAGGCTCAGCGCCATGGCGGGACTCGCGCCCAGGAAGTCCTCGAGCTTCGGCGGCGCCGACACCTCCGCCCCTGAACAGACCGCAAGCCCAACCAAGAAACATAAAGAGACACGCGCAGCTACAAGCCAAGAACCTCAGGAACCCAAACTGTAGCAAAGTAAGAATCGTAGTACTGTGCAGATATTTACCGTGGTGTTTCTGCTCGCCCCTCCGGAGCGCGTCGGCGAGGCAGAGGGAGCCGTCGGACCTGAGAGGCAGTGCGGAGATCCCGGAGTAGTACCCGCCGCTCGCGGCGCCGACATTGTCGCTCCCACCGAAGTAGAAGGACATGGGGGAGGAGGCGACCGCGTCAGGGTGATAGTAGACCCCGCCGTGCTGCGCGTGGTGGTGGCCGGCCACGTCGACGATGCCGGAGCCGGCCGCCGCCTCCATGGCGACGTGAGGCGACAGCGAGAAACCCAGCCAGCCGCCAGCACCGCTCGCGATGCTGGCGCCGCTCATGCTGTGGCCGCCGTTGGTCATCGGGCGGAGCGGATGGGAGCAAGGGCGCACGAGCACGACTGGGGATGAGGCTGTGGTGGTCTCAAGATTCAAGAAGATCTAGCTTAGATGGGAATGAGAGGATCAATCATTGGGGAGCACATGTCGCAATGATGCCGCTGCTCTCCATTGCAAGCTCAGCGGGTTTGAAGGGGGACTTTGGTCTGTGCGCGCGTGTGTGCGGGGTATGCCCGGCTCAGCGCTTCTTGTACCCCGTGGGGAGCGGAGCGGAGCGGGGGGAGGAAGAGGGAGAGTCGGGTATGGTGTGATCGGCGGAGAAGGCCGAATGGTGGGCCTGGCTTTTAAAACGTGTGTGTGCAAAGGGAATGAGTTGCTCTTGATCTCGAGTCTTGACCTCCCACACACACACATTTTACGAACTACTCCCTCCGTTCGGATTTAGATGTCGCGACGTCTTTTTTGCGAAAACCCCCTCCATCTATTTCCGACCGAACCCGCGGTCCTCGCCCTCACTCTCTTCTCCGGCTAGCCGCCGCGGTCCGCTCGATGCTCTTCTCCGTCTCGCCGCCGCGCTCTCCCCCTCCCCCTCCCCTCCCCACCTTCTATCGCGTCGCCGCGCTCTCCTCCCCCACCTTCGGTGGCCTCGCCGAGCTCCTCTCCTCGTTCCTTCGGCGACAGATTGAGTTCAAACTTGGACCTTTGAGTTCAAGCCGGCGACGGATTCCGTCGATGCGAGGCCTTCACCGCCGCCAAGCTCCTGGCGCCGGTGGCCGTGAGCTTCAGGGGAGACCCCATCCTCTCTCCCTCCCAGATCCACCATGCAGCTCGCTCGCGCGCCGGGATGCCGACGCCATGGAGGACGCTGCTCCACCCCTGCTCCGCTCCGTGCCCCCAGTGCTATGGAGGACGCTGCTCCACCCCTGCTCCAGCCTCAAGGTACTCCACCCCTGCTCTAGCCTGAAGGAACAACCTGCGCCGCTGCTTCTGAATGTTGTGCCGCTGTTCATCTCTGAACGTTGGGCACCATGCATCTTTGCTTTACAGTTGGTGCTTGCCAGGGTACCCCAGGTTCAATTCGTGGTGTGATCTTGAGATGCCCAATTCCTTTTCCCAGCCAGCCCTATAGACTTCATCAGGAAGTTACCCAAACCTTTGCTTGCACATCGAACGGCGGGCTTCCTATGCGCGTGCCAAAGCGTCTCCGGGGTTCAGTTTTCTGCCTCCTTTGTTCTATTGGACTCTGTTCTTCAGCCTAAATAAACATGCTCTGCTTCAACTCTCTTCACCGCTGCATAGGAGATGGGACATACGACCTCTATTTGTTTACAGAGGAAGTATATAAAAAGATAAATGGCACCAATAATTATGTATCGATTATTTGCTGCATGTTGATTAGTCCTGTTACTATTATTCCTGTTACAGCATGAAAAAGTTGATTGGTTAATCTTAGTGTCCAACCACAATATAGATCCTTGCTCAAGTCGCCTCATGTCCAGCCACTGTGCCTTTTCAGTTTACCTCTCATCTGAAAGACTGCTCTTTTTCTTTTTCTTTTGAGAATATCTGAAAGGCTGCTGAGTTAACCCTCTTATATGGAAAACAAAAGGCATGTTCATTTAACCTCTCCTAGCAGTGTTATTTTTGTTGAAATACTTGCCTCAACTTGTTTCATATTGAGATACTAATATTTTTTTATAAAAAGAAATACTAATATTTTGTTATGCCTAGGTGTGGAACATGAAGCTGGCAATGCCAAGAATGAACAAGATGAGGGCACTGACAGTACCCCTAGTCAACTGCTTTTGGGCGCAAAGCCAAAGAAAAGACTCACTTCCAAGTGTAGCCCTGGGATTCAGACTCAGAAGAGGCAAAAGAATCAGGTGCTTTTTTGAACCTTCCAGTAAAACAAATAGCATGGTTACACAAGGTGAAGACAGATTACGCACCCTAGACAGTTTACACAAGTTGAATTACATATATATGAAAATAATTGCAGGAGTAGGTTGCTAAAATAGATTGCTACTCTCCTGTTTAATGAAATGTCCATGGGTTGATTTCAGTTCTATGCTTGGGGTCAGCATATTCATTAAGGCTGATCTATTCTAACTCAGCCATTTTTTGCCTACACTGAGCAAATGCATAAGAGTTCTTCCCTTGAGAAATTAATTAATTAATTATAAAGGGGGGCACATTAACAGCTCATTAAGCAAGAGGAGATGGCAGGACCATCCAATTAAATCCCATTCTTATCTTCTTCTTCTTTCTTCCCTTGAGAAATTAATTAATTAATTATAAGCAGGAGTATTTTACAGAGAAAGATGCAAAAACCAGAGCACTAGCTGAATCTTCTTCCAAACCAACTTATCTGAATCTTCTTAACCAACTGGTCATTCCTAGCACAAACCAGAGCACTAGCTTTTTAGAAAAGGACCAAAGCACTAGCTGACCCTAAGTGAAGAAGAGTTGCTCTTTTCCTGCTGCTTGGAGGCTGCTGGTGCTTTTTTATTGTTGCTTGAAGGCTCCTGGTTCTCTTTTCCTGCTGCTTGGAGGCTACTAGTACTTGAAGGGTGTTTCTACCGCTTGAAGGAGGTGGCTGCTCTTTTCCTGCTGCTCGGAGGAGGTTGTTCGTGCTCTTTTCCTGCTGGTTGAAGGTTGTTGCTGCTCTTTTCCTGCTTCTTGGAGACTGCTAGTACTCGAAGGGTGTTTCTGCTGCTTGAAGGCTCCTGGTTCTCTTTTCCTGCTGCTTGGAGGCTGCTGGTATTCGAAGGGTGTTTCTGCTTCTTCAAGGCTGCTGCCGCTCTTTTCTTGCTGCTCTTTTCCTGCTGCTTCTGCTCTTTTTTCTGCTGCTAAGATTATTTTTGCCTCTTCTATAAAGGCTTTGGTCTGTCCAACTAGCTCACGATCGATAGATAGAGCTATAGGAAGCCGTCCTTCTGCCTGCCGGCGTTCCTTGTTCATGTGAGGGATCGAGTAGTTTATCTCTCCCTTGTTTCTCATTACTTCTCGGATGCATGACTGCAGCGTCACGAAGCTTCTAGCTAGCTTATCAACCAGGTAGTTTCGATATTCCTCCTCCACACCTTCTATCAGTTCCCTGATGCTTTGAGGTGCTCTGCTATCGGTGTGGGACTGGAGAGACCTGAATATGCAGAGATCAAGAATGTTCATGTCGGGACTGTTTGGAGGCTGTTGAAGCAACTTAATATACAAATCAGTCTGTTCTATGACTTGTCGGAAAACTGGGTCATCGGGAAGAATATGTGGCGTGGCATTATCTTGTTGGATATAGATTGTCCGTCCTTCTTCTTCGTCCGGCCAGCGCTCTTGGATCGCGGGAATAAGTTTCTCACACATGTAATACTTCATTACATTTCGTGTGACTTTCAATGATTTGAGCTCGAGCGTCCCTTTATCTCTGTTTTCACTGGTTCTTTGAGCAGGAGACTCTGTGACAAAAGCCCAAATGCCGAGCTTTCCATCAAAAGTGACCTCACCACCTTTGCCGTATCTTGGTTTAGCCACGGCTGCGAGAAACATCACCTTGGCGATGCTATCCTTATGATGCAAGGTGCGCAAGGGGTCGGGTTCTTCGGGAAGCAAATAGTAGTTGTTCACCTCCCCAGTCATGTTGAACCACTTTTCATCCATGTAGGCTATGTTGTCTAATTCCCGTGTGGCAGACCAATAATCTTCACACATAGCCAAGCACCATTTTAATCTCTTTACAATGTTGGATAGGTTTAAGTGGGGCATCAACTTATTACTGTGACGCCTCAAATGACCCCACTCGAACCTTGAGTGTAAGGTTGTGCAGCTTACACCCAATGCCTTTGACAGACCTCGCAATGTTCTCCTTCTGTTCAATGGGATTGTCACCACCCTCGACAGATCCAAATCTTTCCGCTTGCGGCCAACTCTACCTGGCTTTTGATTTGAGACATCAACTTTCTCCCCTTTTTCAATCTGTTTAAGAGCTCTTTCCCATATTCTCTCAACAGTTCTTACGGTTGTATCGAGTAGGCTAGCAATGACCTCCTTGTCTTTTTTCAGAACTTGTCCATTTTGGGTCTTGATCACCATGAGTGCAAAATAAATACCATATCTCTCCTCATTTGTGAGTTCCTCATGAATTGGTTTCTATACAGCACTTACTTCCTCATGAATTGCTTCCTCTACACCACTTGCTTCTTCATGAATTGGTTCCTCTACACCACTTGCTTCTTCCCCTGTCAAATAAGGAGCAAAAGATAAGTCATGTAGCTATTGCAAATAATAGGAGTAGATCATGGAAATGAAAATGAAAATGCAAAAGTTTTGGAGGTAGTACCTGTTGCTTCATTATTGACTGGTTCTTCATTGTTGTATCGCTGCTAAATGTTGTGTTCTTCCCGTTGATCTGCAGGTTCTGAGGCATTATCTTGTTGAGGACTCATGTTGAGATCAATCCCAAACATCATTGCGGCGGCGGAGCACTTGCTCAGGTAACTGTTCATGATCCAATAAGAAAGAACATGAAAGTTTATATGAAAAATGAATACTCCTTCAAGTTGCCCACTCAGCACATGAAAGCAAGCTGAAAAATGGAATTGCTGGCACAAAAATGAACTACTAAAAACTGATGGTACCTTTGTTCTTTTCCCTGTAAAAATGACAATTTCTTGTTTTTCCCTGAAGAAGTGTTAGTAGCTTGTTCTTTCCTGCAAAAAGTAAAAAGCAAATCAACACTGATAAGGTATTTTACAAAGTGATATCCTGCAGAAAAACAAATTCCATATTTACAAAAATTCAGAGCAAATTTACACTGACAAAAATGTCTGATAATCATCTATTAAAACCTACTCCAGGAGTATTTCATGGGGATAAAGAGGAAAAACAGAGAGAGCATCTCCACAAATTGTAGTGACAACAAAAATAAAAACATAAACATTGACAAATTGACTGCTCACAGTTAATAAGTTAATACTCCAGACAAAATCCTTGCTAAACAGTAAGTCCTACTCCTACTACTATACTCCTAATAG